AATCAGCCCAATCTGAAAATGCATTTGGTGGCAAGGAATCAGTCTCTGCTTTATAATACCCTTACAAGAAATCAGGCATACATTTGTTTTTGTATCCCTTTGGTAACCTAAAAACACACATATATATGTAAATACACACACACACACATGTATATAAATATATACAAAAAAAAAAAAAAATAAATAAATGAAAATAAAAAAAAAAAAAAAAAAAAATTATATATATATATATATATATATATATATATATATATATATATATATATATATATATATATTATATATATATATATATATATATATATATATATACACATATATACACACATGCATGTATATATATGTATATATATGTATATATGTATATATATACATACATTATATATATAATGTATATGTATGTATGTATGCATGTATGTGTGTCTATATACACACATTTGTGTAAAATAAACACACACACACACACATCTATGTTTACATACAAAACCACACAAAGTTTATATAAAATCCATAATACAAATTTACTTCAGAAGAATGGAATTAAATCAGAGAGAAATGACTGACACCAAATTAATTTAAAAACTGACTAGCCATTTCACCAGCACACTATTTTTTATTTAAATAATGCATCACAGGATTCAAAAGCTTCCCTCCCATTTAGTAAACACAACAGCCCTATACATAAAGTCATAGCCCTCATTTAATAATGGACGAAGTATAACCACAGTGCAATACTACCCTTGAATTCAAACAAGCAACGGAGATCCAAAACTCACCATCTCTAATTCTGGGCTGAAGTTTTCACTCTCCACATTCAACATGGGCACGATCTTCTCCTTGATTTTCTTCGCTTCCTTCCCCGGGATGAAGATTCTAACCTTCATCTGCGCCCTCTGGATGGGGATCACCTGCAAATTTCACAAGATTATGAGTTTTTTTTTTCCCAAAAAACAAAATAGCAGTCTCCCTTTTTAAAAAACCCATCTGCTACCAAATCCTAATTAAAAAAATTCACAGGCTAGTTCATTCAGATTTCTCACCCCAGCTAGTTGCTTGATGACATCTAGTGCTTGCTGCTTGTTGTTGCGTTTCGGGTTGACCGAAAAGTGCAAGTCCTTCATGGCGCTCTCAATCATGGTGACTGTGTATGGTGTCTTTGTTTCTGGGTTTATGCACTTGTCTGAAGTAGTTCATGAAAATGAGAAAAATACTGATTAGGAGATTTTATAAGACTGCACTATTTCTACAAAAAAAAAAAGAAAAGAAAAAAAGAGAGAAAAAAAAAGAAAAAAAAAGAAGAAGAAGAAAAAAGAAGAAGAAGAAAAAAAAGAAATTTGCCTATAATGCTCAAAATTATTACCCTAATACACCTTGAACCCTTACCTTTCAAGTATCATAAATATTTTCAAGAAGTACATATTAAGCTAAAAAAAAAAAAAAATTGTCCTTCAATATATTAATTTTAATTTAATAAAAGGTATCTTTAATCAAGAAGTGTTTACCTTTTCACTTGGGTTACCTCATATTCTCAGAATAATAAGTTTTAGTTTACCTTCCTATATTATTAATGATGTGAAAATTTTACCACTGGGAACCCTATTAAATCATCAAAAGTAATGTTACATATACACACATATCTCCTCTAACAAGATAAAGTATTCTACTTTATACTAGTGAACACAATGGTAGTTTACAAAAATTACCTGAAACAATCGAAGCAATCTCTTTCATAGATGTCTCCAGGTTTGCTTGCCGCTCTTTATCCGATACTTGTAACTCTCCTTTTTCTAAGATTTCCAAGCATATCTGTAAATATATTCACTAGTTTATTAGGCAAGGAATATCTAAAATGAAGCTATTGTGTTAATAATGACAGTTATCATTTGGCATTTTCTCCACCAACCCACCCATCCACCCATACATATGCAAGAATTATTATTATTATTATTATTATTATTATTATTATTATTTTTAGGTGTTGTTGTTGTTGTTGTTGTTGTTTTTTTAGGTGGGGGTGATCTTTAAAGCCACTTTAAAGAATTATTATTTTTTATTTATTTATTTATTTTTATTATCATTATTTTTTTTTTAGGGGGAGGGGGGATGATTTTTAAAGCCACTGTGGTCATTAGTACTTTTAGATACAGTACTATTACATATCTAAAGTAAATGCCTAAAAATACTCTAACTCTATGTAGATACATGTATCTACACAGATAAATACATAATATTCAAATCTCATATGACTGTTTTAATACTTTTGGACGTACTTGTTTCTGGTCTTCCGTCTTGAAACACTTGAGCAGTTCCTCCTTTTTGGCAACCTGTCCTTTTGAAACATTGGTGAAGACTGTCTCACTCTGCAGAACCTCATCCAAATCTTTCTCTCTGAAACAATAATGCCAATAATTGCATCGGAGGAGACAACGTGTGTACATGTGGAGATTTCTACACCTGTGGAAAGTTCTCACTCAATACTGCTATATACATTAATTTGCAAAATTATATATTCTATAAGTTGAACTTCCCAAATCTAATATCCTTGAGTTTCCTGCTAACATGCTTGACATCTTTTCAAGCCTAAGACAGGTAATGAGAGGTAACAATACTTGTACCTATTTCCAAACACTTTATCCAAAATTGTTAGCCTACTTCTAACTTAACCCATTGCTGCGGGGGGAAATGAATAAAAAATGGGGAAAATGCTGTACTCATTTTTTATATTTTTGTGAAATGTCTGTTAGTCCTGATTTCACCTTTCCTTGAATTGGTGGGAAAAAACGTATTCTTACTAGTGCTATAAATATAGATAGTGTTATTTTTAACAGCAAATTAGGATAACGTTAAATATTTTCGTAAATCGATGAAAAGGGTGAACGGGCGAGACAGGCAGTACTCGTAATTGGCTCATTGGATACTTAGTACAAGCGTAGCCATCTATGTGTAAAAACAATCGAACAAGTCGACTCGCAGTGGGCATGGCATTTACATACATGCCATCCCTGTCAGCAAGGGGTTAATTATCTTGCCCTCTAATATTTATTTCTACATAAACTAAACTGGATGAATAAAATGAAAAAGCCATCTCCTCAATACAAAATTTTGAAGTTATTCATAAGTACTAACTTACTTTTATATCATATTCACACATAAGTAATTAATTTGGATGCAATGTGTATTTCATAATAATGGCGTAAGTCCCAGTATCTGGCCAAGATGCTATCACCCTTTTGGCCAGCTGGTCATTTTTTCCCCCCTAGGCACTGTGATTATAGTGGAGGACTATAATATATTGTCTGTGTAGTTAGAACATTAAAAAACATATAAAACCTCGATATACTAAGACTGGGAGCGTGTAACTGTACAACAACTAAACAAGTGTTCATTATAACAAATGTCAAAACAAGGTATGAAAAAGAATGAAAATATTCACATTGCAAGGGACTGTTTTCAAGTGAATTTATGCATTTTATGTATGAAATAATCTGACATTTTCCTTCTTGATTTGTGACAAGTATGTTCTATGAGAAAAATGTCACAGAATCCACTGACTTGTCAATTCCACACGCTGTTTAGATTAATATGAATCTATATACAAAAAATGACAGCATAAACATAAGTTTTAAAAGGGGAAAACAATACCACAAAATAAAGAAAAAAGAGACGAATGCAACAGAAAAAAACGAAGAAAAAAGAGACGAAGGCAACAGAAAAAAACGAATAAAAAAGAGACGAAGGCAACAGAAAAAACGAAGAAAAAAGAGACGAACGCAACAGAAAAGACGAAGAAAAAAGAGACGAAAGCAACAGAAAAAAAAACGACAACACCATCACCAGCCTAAAAAAGAAAAAAAAGAAAAAGAAAAAAGAGACAAAAACAACAGAATAAAAAACTAAAAAAGAGACGAACGCAACAGAAAAAAACAACAACGAATAACTCACATCTTCTGCCTCCAACTCTGCACTTTATTCTTGTAACACGCAATCTCGAACCTCTTGCCTCCCTTCTTCATCCTCACCACGGCGATGTTGGTCAGTCTTATCTGGTTGGTGGGCGTGAATATCTTGCCTCCGCCCTTACTCATGGTGGCGGCTGTGGGCGGGAAAGGAGGGAGTTAAGAGAGAAGAGTGTGAGGAGGAGCTGTCAAAGGACGTGCTTGGCAGGTCCGAGCCGAGGCTGGCACTGAGGGCTTCCTGGTGCGCGAACGGCTGGCTGCTTGGGCATGAGTTGGGGGTGGGGGTGGGGGGGGTTATCCAGCTTTTTTTTTTGGGGGGAGGGGGTTATCCAGCTATTTTTTTTGGGGGGAGGGGGTTATCCAGCTATTTTTTTTTGGGGGGAGGGGGTTATCCAGCTATTTTTTTTGGGGGGGAGGGGGGTTATCCAGCTCTCTCTCTTTTTTTTTTTTTTTTGGGGGGGGGGGGATTATCCAGCTCTCTCTTTTTTTTGGGGGGGTGAGGGAGGGTTATCCAGCTCTTTTTTTTTGGGGGGGGGGGTGAGGGAGGGTTATCCAGCTCTTTTTTTGGGGGGGAGGGGGGATTTTATGATTTGTCTGTGAAATAAAGGTCTGTAAGAGAAGGGGTCTTTGGGTCCTAATGGGAAATTCTCCAGTGTTTTTAAATTTGGTAATTTAAGTAAATTACGTAAATTAAGTAAAATAATTGAATTAAGTAAATTTACCCCTTTCTTTTTATTTTATTTATTTATTTTACTTGAGGGGGGAATGTATGACATATTTGACACACGCGATGATTTACCTAGAAATAAGAACCAGCTACTCATGGAATAATCTCCAACTTTGACTAAATCTCACGACTTATTTCACTTTGACCTATTCGCAGAAATTAAAATCTTAAAGAGGCATTCCATCAAGTACCAAAAAGGGTCGAAAAATAGGCCGTGAATCCGAGTGAATGAATCCGAGTAAATGAATCCGAGTGAATCCGATGAATCCGAGTGAATCCGGCGCTGCGAGAACGTCAACACGCGGAGGAGGCCCGGC